CACCTTCCCCTTTCTCAATCCCCCCGCCTCTCTCTCTATCTCTCTCTCTCTCTCTCTCTCTCTCTCTCTCTCTGTCTCTCTCTCTGCTGAATTTTTCATTGTTCATGAGGAAGGGGAACAAACAGCTAGCCGAAAGTTTCTGTTGACGAATTTGAGAAAGGCATCAACACTGGCCAAGTCTTTCCCTGTCAATGACATTGTATATGGTCAAAATAATTGTTGAGCTGAAACATTCCCCTTAAACTGAATTGATATAAACAGATACTTATTTTAGCTCACCTGCCTGAAGTGTTTGGTTGCTCAATTTTGTTTTACAGTGTGAATGGAATCCTGTCTTGCCTGCGTTGTAATTCTCTTTGTTTTAGTGGAATTTCGCTCGAATTTGATTGATGATTTTTATGATTTTATGTCTCATTAGAATACTTTTTACTTCTTCCTATTGATAACTACCATTTGTGTATGCAATTTAAGGATAAATGTTACCTTTCTTTGGTACGAGGTTAGCACGAAGACTTATGAAATCTCAAACTGGAACAGTGGTTGTAAAAACTGCTGGCTTGATTGACACGTCAAAATTTGATATTGCTTATTTCTTGTTGAATAATGTTGGGTTAGTGAAATTTTCAGATGGGCTATTAAAAAATTGGAAAGTACTACCCCAATTGACTAGTGGCATTAAAAAAATAATTTGTAGCCCTGTCTTAAGGAATATTTCAGAATAAAGAGAAATATATTTTTTTTATTCTGATTATGATTGATAACATTTATTTTTTTAATACATGAACTGATGTATTTTTGATAAGTGTAGTTTAAGAGTAATTTTTAAATTAAAGGGGAGATATACTAAAGACATAATATAATGCCCCCCCCCCCCTCCTTAATTTGAGGCAGATATCTCTTGCTATTAAATAGAATATTAAGCTGTTAATTTGTTTTTCTGGTGGGTTAGCTGGAGATTAACTCCAGCAGGTTATGAGGTACTTATTTTAAAGCAATTTATGATGATACTCCATGCTGTATTGAAGTCCTTGATCAAACACTTCAAAAAAAATATTTAAACAGAGAAAAGTCGGCGTTATAAAGGGGTTGGCAATAAATTGAGGTAAACGTATAAAGGAATTCTTAAGAAAGTGAGAAGGTGGGACACTGATATATGTTGGCGGTATGAGAGGTGGCAAATGAAACGAGGGGCATTATATCGAGGTTTTACTGTATATTGAAATGTCAATCTGTTGACTATTCTTGCATCTTCAGATAAATATATATATATATTGAATGAGCGAGAATGAGTGATTAGATAGTAAAAGGAGAAGAAATAGGAAAGCGAACAGAGTGAAAGACAATAAAGAGTTCCCAATGCCAGGCTTTATGCTGTAATAGGTGTGGACCTGCATGGGACTCCCAGGAGATTCCTTATGTTCCTGAAAAAATACTAGGGGAATTAAAATAATTCAAGTAAAAAAAGGTAATAAAATGAAAATAAATACATATGAACCTTGGTAGTACAAAAAATAAGTAAATAAATAAATTAAAAAAAAACAAAAAAAACATACACAATTAGTACGTGTCTAAAATAATGTTCATGGATTTCTTCTGTTAGCATGAGTAGTATGCCAGTAGAACATGTATGAAGACTTAGGAGGCTGACACAGACTTTAACCCTTTCACCACTGAAGACCAAAATGGACCCATCTATATCAATGCATGGTAGAGTCTACTAAAGTTACATAGGGGTTAAAGGGTTCAAGAGTTTTCCAGCCAGCTTAATTGATCATTTATTTAGCTGAGTGATCAGAATCGGTCTATAATGGGAGAAACAGTTTCTCACATTTGTGTAAGACATCAGCTGCTGTAGGATTACCTCTGGTTGTGTTTGAACTCTTTAACAGAGGGGTCAAGGTCACAGATCTATTTCTGATGGATGATAATGCATTAAGGATTGGGGTGTGTCTCATATATCAAAATATGATTAATATTCTTATGAATCGGTTTTTCGGCTCAGAAAATTTGTCGGCATATTTTTCCCAGTAGAGTGAGGAGTGTGAATCATTCATGTGCCATTGACATTGCCATCGATGAAATCTGGGTTACTTAGTAACTTAGTTACAAAATAATGTCTTTTTTGGGGAAATTAGGAATGTTTGTAGTTGGTCATTTCTCAACATTATTTTCTAACTTTTTCCTGTCATTTAAAGTCAAAATAACCATAAATCCTACAAGTGCAGTTCTCATAACAAACTCTTTTGTCGCTGATGAATTCTAATTCATTTGTGACCTAATGTTCAATTGTGACCTTGACCTGTTAGATGAATATTGATTAGTGAAATATATAAACTTCTTCCATCTGTGATTGGTCCCCAGTTGGAATTTGGGGTGTGGCATTGTGTCATTTATTGTTTGTAATATCAAATAGAGAATCTCAATGAAACACAACGCAGTAAGTTGTATTTTACAATCAAATTGAATACAGCTTTGCTTTTTCATAAAATCAATGTATCTTCATTTGATCAAAGAATTACATTAACTCATTAACCCCTGAGGACACATTTGAATTCTTCCAATTCAAAGGATGGAATAGTTCATTATGAAACTTCAGGGGTGAATGAGTTAATTAATAATAGATGATGTCATTTTAGGGACCTCTACTTCTGAGTTCCTAGGATTGAGATACAATTGACTCTGTTAAAAGTGATTTAGGTAATTTATTGCTATACTCATAAAATACATATGATATAAATTTTACTTATTTCACAAGTATAAAACAAATGTTCAAACTGTATTAATCACTCATGTTGGCATGGATTAAAGCAAGCAAGTGGTCTTACTGTGTGAAGAAACTGGAGTACCCGGGGGAAAACCTGCTTTGTCAGGCAGATGACCCCTTACCTTTTCATGTCCGATTAGGAATGGAACCCCAGCCATCTTGGTGATGGACGAGTGCATTATTCCCTGCACCACCAGATCACCCAGTAGATGTGATATTTTACAGGAAACCATTTGCTGTCCTATATACAGTACATGGCTAACAGTAAAATACAGGGAGTTCCCTGTCTGATTAGAAGCGTAAACAACACTGCAGTGCAGATATGGATGAAAAAAAATATCCTCACCAATTATGATATAAAAAAGATTGTGACATTCCAATTCCGTCTTTTCGTATCGCAGAGTTATCTGCTCTTGTGAGCAGGTATTGATTGTTACGTCATTTGTTTGTGAGAGTAACGTCATAAATCTTTAGGAAAAGACGTAATTTTCTCACACAAACTAATGATGTAACAATCAATACCTGCTCATAAGAGAAGATAACTCTGCAATACGAAAAGACGGAATACAAGATGACGTCCAGTCAGATATGTGTTCTGCATGACGCCACCCGATTTTGTATGGGTCACCTGGCAAACTCAAAAATGATGTTCTGTTATGTACCATATATATATGCTTCACTCTTGGTATGTTAGCTTTTTCATACATTTTCAGTGGTTTGCACTTATGCAAAATGTCCAGAAAATATTAAACAATGTGAAATTATTGAATATCATTTATGTAGAATTAAAGGATGAAATAGAAATCCAAAATATCATATTACTTGCAATGTGATATGCAATGTTTTAAAATTTTACATAGGTTACATGAAGTATTTGAAAGAATTTCATAGCATTAAATGCGTAATCTAATTTACCCTCATTACCATCAAGCTGTTGGTGAATTGTTTAACCTTGTAATTGTAGTTACCTTATATTTATGAATTGATATATTTTTAAAATACCTTGATCATATTTTGCAACTTTTGAAAAAGAAAATTGAAATTATGCAAGGATATATATATTAACTCATTGATATTCACCCCTGAAATTTCGTAATGAACTATTCCAACCTTTGAATTGGAAGAGCTCAAATGTGTCTTCAGGGGTGAATGAGTTAATACCCTGACACCGGTGTCCCAATCAGCCATTTTTGCTGATTTTATTTAACTCTTTTTTTTTTGTATATTTTTTTTCATAAAAGATAAAAATAAAGTGCAATGAAATAAACAATCAATTTATTTTATAAGTTTAATTTCCATGATAATTTTTTTAGAAATATCTCATTATTGACCCTAATGACTTCCATGGTGTTGATGGGCCATTAGGAATCCAATAATAATTGTAATAAAAATCTTACAAAGATCAATAACTATATAAATAATTTCTGATATGCTGATAATGTGCAATGGAAATATTTATATGATCTGTGATATTTCGTAACACTTTATTTATTTTCATCATAGGAGTAGAGGTTGGGATGGAAAAACTGTTTTTATTTTGGGAGAAATAAAACTCTACCTGGGCCGTTTTCGTTTATCGCGATCCAAACGGTTGAACCGGATGGACCAGAGTTTGTTCGTTTATGAAATATGGTCAGACCAAGTAATCTGATGCTGCTTTCAGGCGAGCCTTTACCAAGCCTTGCAAGGCCTGCATAAACTTTTGAAGGTCGCCAGGATTTTTACCGAAAAATGTTACATTTAAAAACGGACGTACCGGTTGTTCCGAATAAACGAACAGGCTCCAGGTGTTGTGAAATTTAAAAGAAGAAAGTACATTGTTGTTTTGAGTATATATAGTCTTGTTTTTGTTCTACTCCTATAAAATTTGTCAAGGTAATTGTTCAATACTATTTTATTGTTGGTGGTAATAGCTAACATGGTTGACATTATTGTTTGCCGTTACGCCAATCAAATGTGCTAGCGAAAAGAAAAACATTTCAAACGAAATAAAAAAAACCTTTTGGTCAGTCATAGGAAATGTCAATTTGTAAATTTTCTCTATAGATTTTTAATACAGACTACTGCATGAATAGGGGATTTACAAAAACCTATTATGTGTCCGCATATATGTTTGAACTACCAATAGCAATAGACAGC